TTCCATGGCAATATTTAAGTATTGACAGTCTACTAAAATATAGAAAAAGGAATATTGAATGTTTCATTAGCAACCAATGAAAATGATATGAATCTAAACTCTAAAGTATCACTCGCAATACATATATATAGTTTACGATATTCTTTTGCAACTACTTTTGCTTTCTAAATTGATTCGATGTTCAAAAAGTTATTTGAATAACTACGCAGTGTGCAAAAAAGAGGACAATAAGGAGAGATTTATTTTCATCCGGATATCTTTGAATACCTTAGGCTTGCTTTCTTTCTCAACATCATTTTAGATGTTCATGACTGGCGACACCCTGATGTCGGGCTGTGTTTTATTCCGCAAACTGTTTTGTTACCTTATTTTGGGATTTTATTCTGTTAAAGACTTAGTATTTATTGTTTTAATCGCTTTGAGATGAATTGGGAGTGTATCGGCTGGCCTTGTCTTCACGAGAGTCGCCATCACGACTGGGTCCGGGTTTAGGATCTTGACAAGGTGAGACCAGATTTTATCTGTCTTAACCTCATTTATTTCTAACCGTTAAAAAAAATAGGGACAAAGCATTTTAGTTGTGAAAGTGTTATTACGTAATTTGGGTCAGTGTAGGCCTTTTAAACAGTTGGCATGCAACCAATTTTGTAATTCTACTTCTTTCGCATGTATGTTTTCATGCAATTTGCCTTCTATATTATATTATATAAACTTTATTAAGATATCTCTATTGATATAATTTGTGTTTTATTTATTGAATACTTCCTTTAAATGATTTATGTTGGAATCTCACGTAAACTAAGCAATACTCATATGTAATATATGCAGACAAATACATGAATGGAGGGGTGCTCCAGCGAGTTATTCTAGATGTTGGAAGTTTAAAGATTGGATATATGATATCAACTATCAAGTGATACAACACTCTAAATAGAAAGTTACATGCTCGGTAGAAGAAACAGAAAAAATTCAGCATATGTATTTTCAATAATCTTGTTGACAATTAAAAAAAGAATAATTGAAACCAAGTTGAAAATACGTCATTAAATATGGTCAAATAATGTTATATGCATAATTGAGCATTCATTGAGTAACTTTGATGACAAAGTTTTTTTTATGTCTGCCGCCTATACTTAATTCTGCAATATCTTTTTGTGGCTAACATAGATTATCTCATGGAATAAAAATAATAGAGAATAATAAAGTGATCAAATCACGAGAAATTAAAACATAAAACTGTCTCCTTGAATAGTTGGATATAGTCATGCTTTCTTTCACTGATTAATATTAATTTAGAAATATACGTGCATCCCACGTGTCCAGTAACTAGTTTCCTAATAAAGGGGAATTCTATTTTGAAACATATCCCATAATTAGCTCATAAGAATAATTCAATTTATTAAATATTGATTAGTACTATAAATACATTAGGTTACCATTATAACATTATCTCTTACACAATACATCCTCCATTAAAATAGGGACTTCATAAATATAGTTGCATAATTTCGGATGAAAGCTTCTCCATTCTTTCATCCTTATCATCTATACAATATTAATAATACAAATACTATATGTTAGTATACAATATACAATATACATATATATAAAGCTCTTATATATACTGTATATTATATATAAGAATAATAATAATAATATACAGTATATATAATATATAATAATATACAATAAATATTATATATAACTATACAGTATATACAATAAATATTATATATAACTATACAATATACAGATATTAATTAACGCTTTCAAAAATACATAGAACAATTTTAATATAATCTACCTTTAATTTATAAGTGTATACACATAAATAAGTATTATACAATATCCTACATACAGCATTCAGTATATAACATTGTGGGGGGAGAAGACAAGTTGTGAATGATTCCAATTCAACTCCGTTTCTGAAGAAACTAGAGAGACTTGTGACATTATTTTGATGAGAGAGAAAATATGTAATTTTAAATTTAATGTAGTGATATGCTTTAATTGGTGTAATCCGTATTTTTTAGGTTCAATATTGAGTTTTAAGAGAGAGATATTAGGGATGAAAAGTTATGTATAATTTAAATAAAAAGGTAAGATTTTAAAATAAGTTGTATTATATATAATTTTCAAAAAGTGATTGTAAGTTATTTAAATAAGTCTTATAAAAGTTGTATTCTATGTAAATTCCTCATAAAGATTTTAGTTTAAGCCACTGACTTTTTTAAGCCGTCCAATGACTAGGAGGAAGAACTAAAGAAGAATGAGTTTGAGAGAGGCGAAAGCTAGAATGATGGATGATCAATTATGCTTCAATTCGTAGATTCAATGATACAAGAATTAAGTTCTTGTATTATGGACTAGTTGAACGTTAAATGTCTAGAAAAAGGTCGATATATAAAAGGACATAGAAGAGTGATGTGGCATCTCTCTATTTATTTTTTTGTCCATTTTTGGCTTTTTCCTTCTATTTTCTTATTAAAAAACTTACAGTCTTTTATAATCCGTTCAAATACAATATGCGAAGAGTCACATTTATACTCACAAGTCACAACCGTTCCTAAGAAAGACATTTATAGACACAGCCGTTACTTTCAAGGGAGATTTACATAATTACTTATGGTAGTTCCCAATAAAGAAGGAAATCAATTCTGAAACATATCTCTACATCAATCTGTCCCTAAATATTCTCCATTACATCAAAAGAGTTATTAAACTACAGTACTATCGCTCAGTTTTACTTAAGTGTCACATAAAATATTACCTTTGTTTCCTCCTAGTCACTCACTTTTGTGGTTTACCAGATTATTAGCAAAAACTTCGTGTTCATGAGCAGAAACTGTCAGGATAAAAAATAACAGGGCGTCATGAGAAACCTAATAGATGCAAACCTTGAACGGCGATATATCAGACACAGAAAAATATACTAAAATATGCATAAAAATATGGTTTGGCCTATATATGAAAAAAAACATAAGATCATATTGAGAGAAAATTCCCCCTAAACAAAACTCTCTAAACGACCACATTGTGCATGCTATTGTATGTTCTAGTTGTGAGAAGGATTTCTTCAATTTATAGATGTCCAAAACTTTTTTTCCCAAGAAGGCCAAAATTATAATTTCCTTTCAGGAAAAATAAAAGCAATTATGGTAATACTTTGACTTTCCTTTAAGAGAAAAGTGAAACTCAAATATGGTAAGAAAATCAGAGCAAAACCCTAACCTTTTTGGGCCTGATTTTCGGACAAGATTTGATTCACCTTCTTCACGTGCATTATCTTCATCATTGCTGCTTGTCATGGTTAAAAATAGGTATGGGTTAAAAGTTGGAGCGTCGTGCATTGAAAGTGAACACGAGTTAAAAGTATTGGAGTCCTACATTAAAAGTAAGCAAGGTTAAAAGTGGAGTACGTTAAAAGTGAGTAGGGTAAAAATGAGAGCCCATGTATTAGAAGTAAGCATGGGTTAAAAGTATTAGAGCCCAACAGTAAAGGTCGTGAGCAGGGTTAATAGTGGCGTCATGCATTAAAAGTAAGCATGAGTTGAAAGTTGGAACCCACAAACATGGGTTAAAAATGATTTTTGTTTTAAAGATGCAACAACATGTATGTTGAAAATTTATGGTTGAAAGTGTGTCTCCACATGTAGTACTCAAGACTTTTTTTTTGGATAAAAATGTTTATTATCGTCAAATTGGTTATTGCTTGATCTGAACCCGCCTTGAACCTGTCTCCAACCTCGTTGAACCATTAGCTCTGATACCACTTGTTGAGATCGAAAATAACAGGGCGTCATGAGGAAGCTAATAGTTGCAAACATTGGATGGCGATAAACAGGCACGCAGAAAAATATACTAAAATATGCATAAAAATATCTTGGCCAATTGTCCTACATATGAAAAGAAAACATAAGATCCTATTGAGACAAAATTCTCACCCTAAACAAAACTATCTAACGATCAACGACTACATTGTAGATACTATTGTATGTTCTAGTTGTGAAATGATGTCTTCAACTTATATATGTCCAAAATTTTTTTCTCAAGACAACGAATAACCAAATATGGAAGAGAATTATATTTTCCTTTCAGAAAAAATTAAAGCAATTATGGTAATACTTTGACTTTATTTTAAGAGAAAAGTAAAACTCAAATATGATAAGAAAAACAGGGCAAAAATCCTAATAAAAACACAATTAATATTCATTTTGTTTAAGATAACTAATTATGGTCTCATTTCCTTCATTCATGTGCCAACCATATCCCAGTTTGTTAAAGCACCTCACCAGATTTTAGCACATACCACCCTACCAAATTCAAGAGCCCTCCAGAAAACAAACAACCTTCAAGAACATTTGACCAAAGAAACAAAGAATTCAGAAGTACGAGAACAATTGCCAGATAATATAATAAGAAAATGTATATTTTTAGTCGATCACAAAAATAATAGCCGGCAAAAAGTATATTTTTTGTATATATGTATGTTATATAAATATATTATACATATTTTATACACTTTTTAGCTACCGAATGCAATTAATTTCGGCCGATCGGCCAATTTTGTATTTTGCCATATTAATAAATGCAGGATTAATTTCCACACAAGCTGAAGCCCCAAAAATACTGAAAGCAACTTCTCTTTGTAATGTTTAATTGTTCATTTTCTCTCTCTCTCTCTTTGAAAGGTTAGTTACTGCAGATTTTCTGAGGGGAGGATAAAGAGACCTTAAATTCCACAACAGAATTTGAATAACATCCACCATTAAAAGATATTACTACCAAATAGCCATGTTGAACTCTATGTTTTCAGAGTTTGTGCTAATTATCATGAGAAGAGGTCCGTGGGAGGCCAGAACTTACAAAGAGAAATACTAAGTTTATTTTTAATATGGTTATTTTTCATATTTTCGTATTAAGTGCAATCACCATAGTTATTAAATATCTATCCTAGTGAGTTAGGCTTATCAATTGCACATAAACATACTTCAGCTCACTTATAATTAATGCTTATCAATCATATGCATTAACACAACAAAGTGATAAACATCTGTCAGCTTTACTTATACAAGATCACCCCCATGTTAAGAAAGAAGCATATGTACAATCATTTTTTTTAATAACCAATGTACATTAGTTTTTTTAAGAAAAGGCATATTTACAATCATTTTACATAAAGATAAACATGAAGACAATGATACCAAGATGATCATACCCTGAGAGATCAGAATTTGTGTGTCCTATGCACTAAATCCCTTGTCGAGCGAACTCCAAGAGTTGGAAGGAATACTCACACAAGCTTGTGCTGATGCTTTGGCTATCTGCTCCATTTTTATACCAGAGTTGCATATGTTAGCAACAGCACGCATATGTTTCATTCCATACTGGGATAATGATCCACAATGTGTCTCAAATGTTCTTACCTGAAAAGGGTTAAGGAAATGACATCTTTGATAAGCACAATTCCAAGCAGAACAACAGGGAAATAAGACAGAAATTGCCACATCGTCAATTGTCGTATGAATAGCTCTGTATATTAAAAAGACCACCCAGCCCCCAGCCAGATCACCATTCATTAGGTAGGTAAAGATTCTGAAGATAAATGGTTGAATAGAGACATAGATTATGCTTACAAAGGATTTAAGACAATCCCAATCATCAACAAGAGGTTCGTCAGTAGGTCTGACTCTAATCAGCACCTCAGGACTTTTCTCGCTTCCGAATAGAAGCTTCCCAACAAGTGCAATGCTGTCATCTATGTGCATTCTGTGTGACATAGCTTCAGTCAGCTGCTTCTGGGCTTCAACTTTCCTAATAGAACCTTGAGGAGCCTTGAGGAACTTCCATTTTTCAGGAAAAACAAAGGATATTAGCTGCATCTAATTTTAAATCAAACCAAATGAATTATACCCAGCAGTATGACTGATCAAATCAAGTAAGAGACTTACAAATGACAATCTATATTTACATGTTATGACTGATTCCTAGGCATTGCGAAATTAAACCTTACAATTATGCTCTCTCTCAGATAAACCATAAATTTTCCTACTCCGGTGCATCTTAATTACAAAAGTCTCTGACCCATAATAATATCCTCAAACCGATCGATCTGTTTATCTTCACTTGTTAATTAGTCCAATATTTAATAGCTTATTGGGTTAAAAATTCTTGCAATGATCTTCGCAATATATGAGTTTCGTTGCCTTGAATGCTTCTCTAGAACCACAAGAAGCATCTGGTTTTTATTTCAGTTAGCCATCAAAACTGCACTCTTACTATTAAGGGTTCCATCAATGTAGTAACACAAGTGAAATATTCAATCAAATCACTTGGAAGTTGATGTTTGGACTATTAAATCAGAATATTACACTGGCTAAAGGAGCTTAGTGAATACCTTGTCCCAGAAATGCAAAAGATCTGCATCACGTTGGTTAATAGGCTTTGCGGAGAGCAGTGAGGAATTCTCGTCCAGAAAAGTGTGATTATCATTTGCGGGATTGGTCCCCATATAAAGGGAAAGAGGATCATCCATTAGCTTCAGATCACCATATTGCATGACATGGGAACTTGCAAAGGTAAACGAGTTGGCAGTTCTCCTTTTAACCTGCAAAATCAGGATGCCAGCAGAAGGATGTCAAAAGTTTCTTTTTAGAGAAAGAATAATGAAAAGGCATCCATAATCTTCCCTAGTAACGCACTAACGCTTGTCAGCTATTCTGCCTAATCATCTAAGAAGAAACCCTTCCTAAACCAAAATAAGCAAAAGAACTAAAGAAGAAGAAAGAACAACAACAGCAGCAACAACAACAACAGACCTAGTGAAATCCCACAAGTGGGGAAAAGAAGAAGAAAGAGAAATCCAAAAATTCCTTTCAAATGCATATACATAGTGTGAGAATGCACGGGAGAAAATATTATTGACTAATATTGACTTGTGTTTAACACGATACAATAAGCCCTATATATACACACATAACATATCCTACTCCTAATACATATTGGATTAGGGTTATTTACTCCTAATTACATGACTATTCTAACACTCCCCCTCAAGCTGGTGCATATAAATCATATGTACCGAGCTTGTTACATATGTAGTTAATACGAGGACCAGTGAGGGACTTGGTGAAAATATCTGCAAGCTGATCATTCGACTTCACAAACTTTGTAGCAATATCTCCCGAGAGTATCTTTTCTCTAACAAAGTGACAGTCAATCTCAATGTGTTTAGTTCTCTCATGGAACACTGGATTTGACGCAATATGAAGAGCAGCTTGATTATCACACACAAGTCTCATCTGACTAATCTCACCAAATTTCAACTCCTTGAGCAATTGTTTGATCCAAATTAGCTCACATGTCGCCATAGCCATCGCTCGATATTCTGCTTCTGCACTAGACCGAGCAACCACATTCTGTTTCTTGCTCTTCCAGGACACCAAATTTCCTCCTACTAAGACACAATATCCAGACGTAGAACGTCTATCAGAAGGTGATCCTGCCCAATCAGCATCCGAGTATCTAACGATCTGCTCATGGCCTCGATCCTCAAACAATAAACCTTTGCCTGGAGCTGATTTTATATACCGAAGAATGCGAACAACTGCATCCCAATGACTATCACACGGAGAATCCATAAACTGACTCACAACACTCACAGAAAAGGAAATGTCAGGTCTTGTCACTGTAAGGTAATTTAATTTACCAACCAACCGTCTATATCGTGTAGGATCGCTAAGAGGCTCCCCTGTCCTGGCAGAAGTTTAGAATTCGGATCCATCGGGGTGTCAACAGGTCTACAACCTGTCATTCCTGTCTCCTCAAGAATACCTAAGGCATACTTTCGTTGTGAGATCACAATACCTGAGCTAGACTGAGCGACCTCAATACCCAGAAAATACTTTAGTTTGCCCAGATCCTTAGTCTGAATGTTTTGAAAGAGATGTTGCTTCAATTTAGCAATACCATCCTGGTCATTGCCGGTAATAACAATGTCGTCAACATAGACCACCAGATAAATACAGAGACTCGAAGCAGAATGCCGATAGAATACAGAGTGATCAGCTTCACTCCGAATCATGCTAAATTCCTGGATAACTGTGCTGAACTTACCAAACCAGGCTCAAGGAGACTGCTTTAGACCGTAAAGTGACCGGCGCAAGCGACATACAAGGCCACGAGACTCCCCCTGAGCAACAAACCCAGGTGGTTGCTCCATATAAACTTCATCCTCAAGGTCACCGTGTAAAAAAGTATTCTTAATGTCCAGCTGATAGAGGGGCCAATGGCGAACAGCAACCATGGATAGAAAAAGGCGGACTGATGCTATCTTAGCCACGGGAGAGAAGGTATCACCGTAATCGAGCCCAAATATCTGAGTATATCCCTTGGCAACAAGACGAGCCTTAAGACGATCAACCTTACCATCCGGACCAACCTTGACTGCATACACCCAACGACAACCAACAGTAGATTTACCTGAAGGAAGAGGGACGAGCTCCCAAGTACCACTCGTATGTAAAGCAGACATCTCGTCAATCATAGCCTGTCGCCATCCTGGATGAGACAATGCTTCACCTGTAGACTTAGGGATGGAAACAGAGGACAAAGAAGATAGAAAAGCATAATAGGGTGATGATAAACGATGATAACTCAAACCGACATAATGGGGATTAGGATTAAGGGTGGTCCGTATACCTTTCCGAAGTGCAATCGGTGTACCAGAAAGAGACAAGTCCGCAGTAGGAGCAGGGTCAGGTGCAGGACGTGAATCAGCTGGGCCTGATGCTGGGTGCGGACGACGATGATATGTCAAAAGTGGTGTTCCTGTGGCAGGGAGTCTAGGAGGAGCCACACTAGACTCCTCAACGGTTGGAATGGGTAAGACTTCTGTAGCGGAAGGTGAAGGAGGAGCTATAGTAGACTCGGGTAAGACTCCTGTGGCGGAAGGTGAAAGAGGAGCTATAGTAGACGCCTTAAAGGTCGGTATAGGTAAGACCTCAGATATATCAAGGTGGTCAGAATGGTCAGAAGAGGTAAAGAAAGGTTTAGACTCAAAAAATGTGACGTCGGAGGACATAAAGTACCTACGAAGATCAGGTGAGTAACAACGATATCCCTTCTGAACACGAGAATAACCAAGGAAGACACACTTGAGAGCACGAGGAGCTAACTTATCTTTCCCAGGGGCTAAGTTATGAACGAAACAAGTGCTCCCAAAAACACGAGGGGGGACAGAGTATAAGGGTGATTGGGGAAACAATACTGCATAGGGTATCTGATTCTGGATGGGAGAGGAAGGCATCCGATTAACTAAATAACAAGCTGTGAGAACTGCATCGCCCCAAAAACGCAGCGGAACATGAGATTCAATGAGAAGTGTGCGAGCAGTCTCAATGATGTGCCTATTCTTTCTCTCCGCAACCCCATTTTGCTAAGGGGTATAAGGACAAGAGGTCTGATGAATAATTCCTTGAGAAGTCATAAACTGCTGAAATTGAGAGGATAAATATTCTAAAGCATTATCACTGCGAAAAGTGCGAATAGAAACACCAAATTGATTTTTAATTTCAGCACAGAAATTCTGGAATATAGAAAACAACTCAGAACGATCTTTCATTAAGAAAATCCAAGTACATCTTGAATGATCATCAATGATGCACAGCGATATGTTTCTCACTAAAGCTCTGATACCATGTGAGAATGCACGGGAGAAAATATTATTGATTAATATTGACTTGTGTTTAACACGATACAATGAGCCCTATATATACACACATAACATATCCTACTCCTAATACATATTGGATTAGGGTTATTTACTCCTAATTACATGACTATTCTAACACATAGTTGTCAAGAAACTCTTACCGGCTCATATTGCATTCCTAAAGTTTCTCTTTGAAGATTGTGTTTTTCACTGTTCATGTAGGTATCATAGTTAGTCAACAGAAAGCAGAATTTACAGAAACGATAAAAATACCACCTAAAAGAACTCGAAATCATTATATTTCCCAAATTACATCATCAAACTGTAGATAACACAGACATGCCACTCGCATTGGCAAGTCACCTGCTCACAAACTAGTAAGCCGTAGAACAAAGAGGAGAATCAGAAAGGATGATGGAAAGAAAATCTGAAATCCTGTGAATACCTATCTTCCATCCAAGATACAGCGTACAAGTCACCCAAGCAGGTCTGGTATTCTGGAGGAGGACCTGGATAGTCTCCTGGACAGTAGGTTCCCCAACTGTCCTCTTCAGCATTTGATGCTGTTGTTGCATAGATATTAAGACCTTCAGGTAGAAGGCCCTCAAATATACTCCCAGATTCACAAGCCTCAATGTAAAAAACCTGAAGATAATTTAAGGGATATAACAATAAGCGTACTGCGTCAACCAAATTACAAAAATCTCTTACCCTCAACAGTTACAAGCCACAGATAGAAAATTAAAACTGAAAAAAGAAGAAACGAACTGACAAAAGCAACTTACTAAGCTTTTGTATGTCCCTGAAGCATGCTTCCTTTTCAAGGCGTCAATTAAATCATCAGCATACAGATAAGGGCCACTAGGCATCCCTGATTTGTGAAAGTATAAGAATATATAAAGTTGCAGACTAGTAGTAATTACCAAACCTATTAACTGAAAAAACAATAACCAACATAGATAAATAGGCCAACTTCAGTTGCCCTACACTAACAGTTGTCAGTACTCCTAAGCATGAAACTGAAAGAGAAATGAACCCTTCTCCCTAGCAATATTCACATTGAATTCCATAATAACAACAACATACCCAGTATAATACCCACAAGTGGGTCTGGGGAGGGTAATGTGTACGCAGACCTTACCCCTACCTGAGAGGTAGAGAGGTTGTTTCCGATAGACCCTCGGCTCAAGAGAAGGTGAAAAGGATCACATTGAATTTCATATTGTGCCTAAATACCCAGCTTACAGCATAACACGGAAATCACCACAAAAACTCCAATTCGAGAAGAAAAGGGGGTGAGAGAGAGTGTGTGTATGTGTGTGTTTCAACTTTCAAGCCATAGATTCTGTCACAAATATGCAACTAGAATTTTGAAAACTAAAAGGGAGATACAAACTCATAAGTAAATAAAATCTAAAGCAAACAAGAAATAGAGCTAAATTAATCATATCCAATACATCTGGGCTACACAAGTAAAATAGAATACCAACTGAACAAGAACCAAACTGCTTCCTTTCAGGTAACCACAGATTCTTTTGGTTAGGTCTTGAGGAAAGAAAATTATATGATTGATGAAGTAACAAACAAGCACTAACAAAGAGGCATCATAAACTCCATGCAGGCAACTAACCAAGCACTCCAGGACCACCATGATCACTGTAGAAGATGAAGATATGATCATTCGGACCACTTTCCACCACCTTCCCACTGCCTCCACTAAGAGCGGCTTTATCCCCAAGGATAACAGCAAGAACGTTGTTGGCTGTAACATGATGCCCTGTATAATCCTGCCATAGGGAAATACTATCAGAATAGAGTACATGCACTGTTTAAGTTTTAATTAGTGATTCACACCTGAGAAAGAACCTACCTTTGGAACTCCTTTATAGACATCGTCACCATTAGGGCTATTTATGACGACTCCTGGCCTAGGATTCTCAGGATTATGAGCAATGTCATCATACATAAACACAATAATATTTTCATCCTTGAGGCCACCTTTCTTCAACAGCTGATATGCGTGACAAACATCTGCCTGGTACAAATATAGAGACAACATTTACAACGCTTATTAGCAAAATAGAAGCAAGAGCTCATAGAAAACAGTGCATTATTCTCATTCCAATAGCCTCGTCTGAGGTCCATTTCAAGTTTTCATCCATGTCTAACCAATATTTTTATGCAAAGGCAAATTCAGCTTACAAAGTAGCCGCTGCACCTCCAAATTCTCAATAATTAAGAATACAGTACTACATATTTTGGCTTTAGCTTTGTTCAAATAAATCACAGACATTTTTCTATTTTCATATCACCTTAATTACCAAACAGGCCTACATGTTGGTTAGGGTAACTAATATTAAGTCGACATGCTCATAAACAGCTACTTAACTCTAACTGATACTAAAACCAGAAAATACAAAAACTTTCAAAGCAATCATTTTGTCTTCTATTTATCTATTTATTTGATTATTCTTGTTTGCTATTCAAATGCCAGAGAGAGAGAGAGAGAGAGAGAGAGAGAGAGAGAGAGAGAGAGAGAGAGAGAGGAAAATCTTTAATTTGGTGAAAAGCTAAATTAGGGGCAAGGTGAAGAGTAACCTGGTGCCTGTAATTCCAGTAACCTCTTGATCCAGCAACCAGCACAGCCCATTTAGTACCAATTGAATCATCATCGTATTCACCACTGAAAAACTTCAATGCTTCCGACGGTAATTTCAGCACATCCCTGCCGTCAACGGTGGTGAGTATTGACAGTCCAATGATCAAGACAGCACTCACAACGTAGCGAACAATCATTGTTCAAACAAGGTAATCAAAGCTAGTAAATTTTTTTTGCAATGGAAAGCTTATCACTTACTCTTGAAATGAGTCAACTACTCTCTAGAGCAGTACGAGTTTCACGTTGAACAGGCAATTATCTGAGTTTCACATCACAGTTGGGAAAAAAAAAAAAAAAAAAAAAAAAAGAAGTTTCAGTGACGATATTGTCATTTTTAGTTTTTATGCTAGTCTATTAATGAGATGATTAGGCGTCATTAAGAATGTTAGATGTTGATTAAACTACTAAAGAGGAGATTAGCAAAATTACGAGGAATATTCCTTGTGTTCTTTTTTTCGTGTTGCTTTTCTATTCGTTAATTTTAATATTTAATATTCCATCCGTCTAGAAAAAAGTGATTAGCTTCCAATTCCAAATTAAGAATATCGAAATTATAGATTTTTCACCCTTTTAAGTTCAAAAAATTTGAAAAGTAATTTCATATTTAAATAAAAATTCTAGGACACGTGAAGTAAGATTTTCTAACATTTCATAAATATTAAGGTTTGATTTTATAATTTCAAAAGTTTGATAAATTTAACAAAACATCAAACTTATCACGTTTAAATTCTGAATCGCAAATAATCAATCCGAATCTATATACAATTATGAACCTTCTTAGTGGAATAATAAATTCGTCAAAACCCTCCTAAGAATGTTTTCAAATCAAACTTGGGGCTTGTTAATTGTTTCAAATTAACACAGCATTTTACTAAAGGTTCAAAAATATCATTTTCCAATTAAATTAATATTGTATTTCCTAATTATAGTTTTTAGTTCAATTGGTTCACTCACCACCCACGTAGCACTCTATTGAATATATAAATTATACAGTATGGACAGCTATGGTCAATGTCGTTGCAGTACAAGTAGGTATACCATCAACATCTATGCCGCAATAAATAACAAAGCAAATTGCTTTACTCCCTCCGGTCCAAAATAAGTGATTTTTTGAATGTTTTCGCACAGATTAAGAAATTTACTTTTTAGCATTAATTAACAATGGGATTGACCATATTAACCTTTACTATTTCACATAAACACTCCTAACACATATTCCAACACTATTTAATCCAAGAACAATGTAGGAAAAAAATAATTAATTCATTCTTGAAATCTGAAAAAATTACTTATTTTGGACCACAAGAAAAAGACCAAAAAATCACTTATTTGGGACCGGAGGGAGTACTATATAAATCTTGAGACACCAAATTAACTTTTATACATGGATTGACTAATGTAGTCGCTCAATTTGTAAGAAATGAATACAAAATTACTTAATATTATATCAATATTTAATTTAGATAGAAATTAAAACTATATAACATAGGTAAAACTTATGAAAGTAATCGTTAATACATAATCAAATAAAGATAAATAAACAAATTTACTGTATGACTTGAAATAAAGGTTTTTTCACAAAGAAAAAGAATAATGGTTTATTCCTATAAATTTTTCTATAGAAATTTTAGTCACAAGAAGATCTAATCGGAAAGATCGACAAATTCTTGCGAAGTCCAATAGACCGTAAGACTGCGTATAATAGACCCTCGTGGTCCGGCCCTTTCCTGGACCTCACATATAGCGGGAGCTTAATGCACCGGGCTGCCCTTCTAGCGAAGTCCAAAATAGAAAAACAATGAAATTTGAAAAAGTCAACAGCTCCAATTTCCTGTCTATCCACATTTAATTTCTGAATAACATACATATACACATATAGGAAATTTTACCTCATATAGCAAAAGTTGACACCTTATTTATTATAAATAAATACCCTTTTAGAAAATTATCTCATATAGCTACCTTTTAATTTTTATACCAAAATATCTATTTATGGCCACTTCCTATCATTAAGCCATTAAACACTCTCTCTAATAGTTTTCTCTCTCATTCTTTATATAAAACTACCTCCTTATTAAACCCTAGCTTATGTTCTTGTTTTTTTTTTTTTTTGCAGGAGATGTTGTGGCCATCCCCTATCATTATTCACGAGTTCAAGTGTTGGTATTAGCAATTAGTGCTCATTCCCTTGAACGAGTAGTAATGGTAGGCACAAGGATGGAATCAATTTATCAAGGGGAGAAGCTACAAATTGGCAGTATGTATAGGATGCTGTCCAGAAATTTCGACAAAAAACTTCTCGATACAAGGTCTTGGAAAAGAGCAAAACGGATCTAATGGAAGCAGACAAAATTATCCGATAATGTTCTTGACGAGGAGAATTTGGATGCTGAACAGGAAGTTATTGGAGACTTGGCAGACACGCTAGATAATGTTTCCAAGGTGCAAAAATCACGTCGCTACATTGAACCACGATTCTCCTTTATCACGGACTCTGCAACTCCGGTGGCCGGTTGACAATTCCAAGGAAGAGTTGATTCTTGTATTGAGATGTATTTATATGTATTCGACAAGGCATACACTGATTTTTATTTTGTACAGTGATTTTTGATTGTTGTATTTGGATGTATTTATATGTATTTGAGTTCATACAGCAACATTTTTAAATAGATTGTTAGTTCTAACTGTATTTATCTGTATTTTCAACCTAACTGTATCCATCTGTATTTAAAATAACAATACAATAAAATATAGTAAAATACTCTCAATACAAATAGAAAATCAATGAATACAACCAATGAAATGTATTTAGATTGTAGATAGTGACTTTTAGATTTATTTAAATGTATTAAGATTTTGTTAGAGAAACATAGCATGAAGGAAAGCATATATTATGAATACAACATTATACATGCTGTATTTTTTAAAATTCTACCATGAATACGTTATACAACTAGCCAGAATACATATCCATACGGTTGGATACAACAAATTGGTGAAGAAGTTGTAATATATACCATGAAAAAAAGGATGAACTAAATCTCTGAATATTGCACTATTTTTTGGGTGTTTTTCGTCTGAGAAATCTTTTCCTTAATTGTATTAATAATTTTGCGTGTTATAATTGAGTTTGTTGAGTTATATTAGGAGTCTATCACGTTAATTGATTCACTTTTCGTTTTTAAACAGTTGGAGAGGCCTATTTTTACGCTGTATTCATGAATACATCTCACAAATACATATGAATACAGCGGATGATAGCTTGCATGCCCTGTTTTTTCGTCGAGTTTTGCTACTATATTCGTGAATACAGTAGCGTGATTACATCGAATACATTCCATAACAACAGCTATATGAAGTAATTAAGTAAATGGTAGCTATAACAAGTTAATAACCACTAAACGATAGTGATTTCTGAAAATTTCTCTAACAAATACAGTCATGATTCAATAGGTAAGGTCCACTTAATTTTAATTTTGTTAATCTCTCATCTTTCTAATGGATTTGATTGGTATAACGGAAAAAAAAAACGGTGATTCAATAAATAATTTTTATTATTCAAAAAATCATAATAATGAAATTTAACTAAACATCCCCTCGCTCCACTTCATTCATTTGCCTTCTCTTTCTTTCTATATGCGGAAAAAATGTGATCATCAAATCTATGACATATATAATATTGGAACTCATGCATTTGGAACGCCTGAGGCCAATTTGGCAATTTTCCTTGTTGCTCTGCTTCTGTGGCTACTGCTTCGGCGAAGACTTCCTTTCCAAATGTTCAACTGTATAATTAAATACAATGATAATGTACTATCCAGTTTGTAATATAATTGAAAACTTTGAGAAATTAAAGGACTGCCTCACTTTGTGGTCCTTTTTTTTCAATTGAAACGAGTAGGACTTTACTTTTGATCGTAATTCCTTACTCTTGGGAATATTATGCAATTAATTAGTTTGATAGCTTGTCTCCAAGACGGCAATTCAATTCAGTAAATAAGAATTTATAATTTAATCATACTTCTAAGAATTCAGATCCATTTATGTTTTAACATTTAATTACGGCTTCTCAGTTGAACCTTTTTTATATAAAAAAATTATGTGTAAAGAACAAGATCTATACCTCACAAAGCTGTCTTTAGAGCGCGAATTAGATGATCTTGTATAGGTATTGTCACACCTCCTTTTTCTACCCCGAAAGGGGTATAAGGGAGTTTTTTCCAATTTAAGTGACAATTGAAACGAGATTATTTATTCAAATTCAGAGTCGCCACTTGGGATAATTTATGGTGTCCCAAGTTACCGGTTTTAAAATCCCGAATCGAGGAAGTTGACTCTTATTTATGGTCTGCGAACACAGAAATCCGGGTAAGGAATTCTGTTAACCCGGGAGAAGGTATTAGGCATTCCCGGGTTCCGTGGTTTTAGCACGGTCGCTTTGATCATACTTGGCTTAATCAAATTGTCTAATTATTCACTTTAGAACCTATGTGTATTTGCCCTATTTTAATTAAGAAATTATCTTGAAACGGGTCACGCGCACGTGTACCCATTTGTTTGGCGCGTCAAAATCATGTCACGCGAACGTGTCCACAATTAATAAAGCTTGTTATTATTAAGAAGGTTTAGTCGAAGTTGCGCGAACGCATACTGCGATTTTGTTTTTAAAATCGTAATTATGTCACGCGAACGTGTCCACAATCACGACGATATATTAAACGTGCCTAAAGCAAGCTACGAACATTCATTTTTTTAATATCTAAGTTATAATATATGTGAGGGTCATAGGTGATTCAATGATGGATGGCACACCTCAATCTATTTTTAAAGAATTATACTTAATTAAAGCGGTCTAAGGATGTTCGGGTTTAATCTAAATTATAATTCAATCTAATACTACTAATTACAAGCATGCATGAGATAATATATTAGGCATTTGATTACTTGAAAGGATATAGGCCAGCAGACAAGCCCCACGCTATTGTAACTAGAGTGAGATGCTGGGCCCTTTATTATCTAAACAAAATCAAGGCTGACCTTAGGCCCATAATTATTTTAAAGAAAACTGGGCTCAAAATCGAGCCCAGAAATGAAGCCAGGGCAGACGATCACTTAGCCCCAAAGGGGCCAACAAATGCCAGGCCCAACTCTGCACTATTGTGCCTTCAATATAGAGACCCACGTTTGTTACACTAAGCAGGAGGTTTAATGAATTAAAAAATACTGAACATCACAAGGCTCGAACTTGAGCCCATAATGAGAAAGGGATAATAATCAAACCCCCAGGTCGAATTTAGGCCAGGCTGCCTCATCTG